TATGCCGTTCGAAAAACTCTGATAGTGGTGTCTAATTCAGATTTATGCATAGACTGCACTTGATGTTGAATAGTTTCACGTGAAGCAGATGTAAGGATGTCAGCAGCTTTTACATGGGCTTGTGATTCTTTATGTTCTTTGATTTTTTTTCTCAGGCTAGCTTGTTGTTTGCCCTTGTCAACACCGAAATGAGACACTGCACACTTACCCCATTCAGTTGACAGTTTCAGTCCTTGTCCAGTGTGTATTCCCAAAGATTTGACATGATCTCTGCATATCCGACATCCTAGCTTCTTATCTTTAAGAAGGAGCCATGCATTGGTCTTGCAAAAATATTGCACCTGGTCCGTTGTCCAGCAGTCAGGTGCATCGCTTTGCCCGGTGTTGGTGGTGGCAGTTGCGCCAGCAGCAGCTAACGTTAGAGGCTCTGGAGGAGGCGGCGGAGCTAGTGCTAATGCTAATGCACTAGAACTTGGAGCAGGAGGATCAACCAAAGAAAGCTCCCCATCAGACACAATTTCCAACACAGGCACAGCATTCTCTGTATTTGAAGTTTCTTCCGGCGACAACCGCTGTCTTTTTGCACTTTTATTAATCCACGCTAACATTTTAGAAATGCTAATTTGTGACGTGATTTGCTTTCCTTCTCTCGGGGGCGTGCCTGCTCTGTTCTATCACTCTACATAGCCACCCACTGGGTGGGAGTTGTACTGCATAAACACAACACACGTGCATCTAGGTATGTAAATTGTAAAGTATTAAAACATGGTTTTACTAACAGTTTTCAGTATGTTGTTACTTCGGCATTATTATTATTTTGAAACATGTATTACTATTAAATCACGGTCAAATAGGTTAATTTTGACATAGTCGTTTCCACCACAGTATTTACATGGAGAAGATAAGCCCCGCCCCCTCCCCAGCACGTTCTGTTTGAATGACAGGAGTAAACAGCTGACAGCCGCTGTGAAACTCCAGCGGTTAGAGCGATGAGAATGTCCGTTCGGCACCTCATGACGCATCTACTGAGTACCGGGCGGCTGTATATATATATATGGATGTATAATAAGAACGGCGGGAGAGTGTTGAGTACTGGCACGGTGCATGAGTACCGGAGTACCGCCAGCATGCCGGTACTGAGCAAGAAGTGCCGGTACTCCATGGGTCAGAACCAGAAGTGCCGGTACTGCGTACCGGTGAGTACCGGCCCAATTCCAGCACTGGGTGGAGGTATGCCCATTATTTTGAGTTCGTCCGAAGAATAGACAGGAATGTGACGGTGAGGTGCAAACTGTGTCCAGGCCAGAAGCTGTTATCCACTGCTGGAAACACCACGTCAAACCTCAACAAGCACCTGCAAAGAACACATGCTAAGGTGAAGCTACTGCACACGCTATTTGTTGTTTGTTTATATCACGTAGTCTGTTCTTCTTCTCTGTCTTCCGGTTGTTGCCTGTTTTGAATGACGAATACACACTACCGCCGCCTGCTGGTAAGGAGAGTTATTGCCACTCACAAATGCGCAGTTCGTACGTGCTCGGCGAGTAAAGTAACGAGTAAAGTAACGAGTTACTTTATGTAGATAGTAACGAAGTAGTGTAATATATTACTTTTTTAAAAAAAAGTAATATATTACATTTTTTTTAGTAACGACCCCATCTCTGGAGTTGGCGTTCTCTACTCTGGTTTACATGAAGAACAACAGGAGGTCACGGCTCTCTGTTGAACAGGACTTGCGAGTGGCCCTCTCCTCAGTGCCACCAAGGATTACAAAAGTATGCGCGCCCCGACAGGCACAATAATTTGTAAGTCGGCAAAATATTTACAATAGCACATGTTTCAATGCTGATTGCTGAAATGTTACATTTATAATTTGTAGTTCAGGACCATGGACAATGCAGCTTCCTTGCATTGACAGTTCTCTGTGCTGAATTTCTGCTGAGTTTCCTTTGCCTCATTTTTAATTTTGTGACCTGTCTGGTTTAAATGAGTGTGTCGCTGCTTTGATGAAGCCTAATTTGATAAAGTTTCAAATTCATTTCTGAAATATTTCGTTAATAAATATTTCATGAGTAATATAGTTGTCTTTGTCACATTTTATTTGGCATTAGTAAATAATTATGCACATTTACAGATATTTTACATGATATGAGTGATAACACGTGTTATAAGGGCTATTTTGCACAATAGGTGTGCCTTGAGATTTGTACTTGTCCTTTGGTGTGCCTTGGGCACAAAAAGTTTGGGAACCACTGATATAGACCGTTCGGCCACACGAGGATGACCGAATACGGCACTAAACGACTGCGGAAACGATAACGGGTCCCAAGGTGGATAGAACGGCATACGCAACGCTCTGGGGGGTCCGACGGCTCCGTGTGTACGCCCTATACGATCATTTTCTGATAATGATGAGGCAATAGCCCCGCCTCTCCCCACCTCTGCTGCTCACCCCCGCGTCAAAGCAAACTGCACACTGAATTCAGATTATTTTTCTTTCTCTCGATATGGACATAAACGCGAGTGAAGTCTAATCTGACAGGACGGAGACACCTCTCAAACTACCTAAACTAGTTATAAACAGGGCTGCACATAACTGGCGCGCAGGTGCGCATGCGCACCTCCGCCAAAAAAAGAGCACCGGGTCATTTGAAAAAAGGCGCATTTGCGTACCAACATTGAGAGAGAGAGAGAGAGAGAGAGAGAGAGAGAGAGAGAGAGAGAGAGAGAGAAGAGAGAGAAGGGAGAAGAGAGGAGTGAGGAAAGAGAGAAAAATATATTTGCGAGTTGCATATGAACTCAGGGTCCGCACGTAGCACTGGCGTTATAGATGTTCGCCTAGGGCGCCAGATCTGTGGAGGCGCTGCGCTGGCAGTTCTGGGAGGGAAAAAAACATTTTTGACCGTTGGTGCTCATCCTAATTTTCGGTCTTGATGTAACAACATTCATAATTAAGTAAATGTAACACCCTTTTCACCCCAGTTACACGTTTCATTTGCCCTCTACGATGGGCGCTGGAAGTGATGAAAATGGGGGATGTTGGCTTATCTGGCGCCCGCAGCTCACAGCCAACGTGCGAGTGCGCGTGGGAGAGAGAGAAGGGCGCACCGCCCGGTACCGGCGCTGTTGTTATTAGAATCTGGTGCTAGCTGCTTTAACGGATATAAGAAGAAGATGTGTCTCCAATAATGTGGAGGGAGAGTCCTCTCCAGTCAGACTGATACTACAGCTCAGTGAGGTAAAGGACTCTTGAGTGTTTAGATAGTTCACTTTAGTCTAAGTTCAAACAGTTTGATCACAATTGATGTAAACACATATTTCCAAGGCACTCCTTTATAATTATTGGGATAAACAGGTTTGAAATCATTCCAATGTATACTATAGGACAGTAACCAAAAATATCCTTTAAAACTGGAGAGATGAAAAAAAATGCAGAAATAAATAAATGTTAAGGTAAAATAAGATATGAATGAACAACACAAATAAAATAAGTTACATTCATTTGTTATTGGCTATGGTAGGTTATTGGTTATGTTCACATACTTATTTGATTACATCCACTTGTCTAAAATGACAACAGAGACTTTCGACCCAAAACCAGCTGTTGACTTGTGGATGCAAGCAGCTAATCACAGACTCAACCAGAGAGAAAGAAGTAGGCCTACATCATCAGCTACCATGTCTGACAGAGAGGAAGACAGTGAGGAGAACAGTCAGGAGGGTAGTGATGACAGCTTGTAGGATTACTGGTCGTGCTAATGTTGTCTTGTGTTCACCTCTGCATGTGTGTTCTGTGTTCACCTCTGCATGTGTGTTCTGTGTTCACCTCTGCATGTGTGTTCAGTGCCGTGTGTCTGGCAAATAAAGTTAAGACCCCCTCAAAAGTTACGGTTTATTTCATTTTAAGGATGAGCACCAAGCAACATCTCCAGGTGCTCCTTTGAGAACCAGGGCAAAAAAGTTATGTGCACCCCTGGTTATAAATATGTTTATTTTTACTGTCGGCCGGGTCACTCATTACTGGATCAGCTGCTGCATGAAACAGACACTGGCGCTGTCCGAAGAGAGGGAGGAAAAAGAGAGGCTCCGTGTATTTTATTATTATATTATATAGATTCGTTATTCATTTGTTTTAAAGCTCAATAAATAACAAAGAAGACCTTTGACCGGCACTTTTATAATTTTGTCGGAAGATTTAAACTTTAATACACGTTGACTGGCGAAAAACTCTGCCCGGTTCCCTCGGCCCCCACCGCGGAGAATAAACAGAAGGGCAACCATGACAACCATGCTTCTTCGCTGCTTTTGTGGAGGAAGTTACAGCGCCACGTACAGGCTCAGCATATGTACTGCAGCTTCTCCAGCGGTTGGAGCTAAACGGAGCGGTCTCGTGTGGGCAGACACTATCCGGATGACTATTGCGTGTGGACGGAAGCTTGTTTGCGATTGCGTTAATCCTATGCGTTTAGCCGTTTTCGTCCTCGTGTGGCCGGGGCCTCAGTCTCTCCTGATTTAAATATTGTTATTTTATATTGTTGCCTTTTGTGTTCAGTTTAATGCTCAATTTATTGAACAAAAGACTGTCAAATATAATTTCCTTTTTTTATATGCAACGCTTTTTTTTGCATAATCTTGAAAATATAGAAGAAGTCAGATAGTCCAATAAAATGGATGCATATTTTCCTCATTTCCTGCAGCCATTGCAAAACAAAAATGTAACCTGCTTGAGAACAGATGCTCATCTCTCTTAAACACTTCGTAGACTTTCTGTGAAATTGTGACAAAAGTCTTGTGATGTTCACTCCACTAAAACAGGAAGGAAGCGTGAGATTTCAGATGGTCATATTACTCAACTCTGACTCAGAGCCTTCCACGAGACAGTCAGATAATTTAATCCGTTATACGTTTCCACACCTTGATAATCGCTGATTCATTGTTAATGATTGTCAAAACAAGCAGTAAAACGGTTTCAGTATTAATCTCATGGCTGCTTCACTGACCCCGCCTGCAATTCGAGCGCCGTCACCGGTTCCTCCAATCACAGACACCAGAGAGACGATGATGTAGAGCACGGCTCCGATACCGGCACGTAACAGATCCTGAACAGAAGGAGAAGATAAAGTGTTGTGAAAATACAGAATGTCCTCTTCCAGTATGAGAGTAACATGATAACAAAGGTATCCCAACTGTAGCTGTGTTCATGACAGGATGTGTGATTACCTAGAAGAGCATCAGGACTGTTTGAGGCATATGATAGCTATGTGATTAACATGATGATTCAGCCTCTATGGAGACAGACATATGACAAGCATGCTCATTTCTGACGTGGAGCTAATCTGAAGTAAACATTGAATACTGCTTTCTATTCCTCCATCTTGTGACTGTGTAACTCCCTCTCTTGGATATCAGCATGTGAAGGACACTGTTCAGGAACTAGTTGATGCTCTGTATGTGATGACTCCTTCCATTCTGGAGAGGATCATAAATACATGGATCCTGAGATTGAAGCTCAAGCTGGTGACGAGGGATATTTTTCTAACAAAGTGTTGTGTAACTGTGTGTGTGTGCTATGTGTGTGTGTGTGTGTGTGTGTGTGTGTGCTATGTGTGTGTGTGCTATGTGTGTGTGTGCTATGTGGGTGTGTATGTGTGTGTGCTATGTGTGCTATGTGTGCTATGTGTGCTATGTGTGCTATGTGTGCTATGTGTGCTATGTGTGCTATGTGTGCTCAACCCAGTCTCACGGCATTTCGTGTTCAATAACACGATTTTTAATCTATTGATTCGTGTTCCCCAACACGATGTGCCCCTTTTTTTCGTGTTGCACAGCACGATTTTAAAAGCAATGTATTTCTATTGCCTGCAGCACGTCTTTTTCTCCGGTCGGGTCGAGGAAGACCTGAAGCTGTGTGGTTCATAAAAACATGTTCTTACTCAATATCAAGCCACAATTATTGCTTTTATTTTAAATCGTATAATTTCGGACTTTTGTTGCCGTCTGTGAGGAAAATAAATGGGGCTCAGAGCCTCAGTATACTGAAATCTGTATTTTTTAAATATTTTTATTTGTTATTCTTTTCAAAATAACACACTGTTATTTACTCACCAATAATACACAATTATCCTTAATTTTATTTATTGGTTTAATTCCATAATCTCGGGCTTTTTTGGCGTCCGTCAGGGACTGAATTTCAAAATAAAATATCCGGAAACAGACGTAGGACTATAAGGGACATTTCGAGCGTCATTGCGATTGTCAACCTTTCTGAGTTTAGGATGGCCGAAGACACTACACTACCCATAATCCCCAGCTATCGTTTAGGACTACAGTCCCCCGTAAGGTTACGCAGAGCGTCAAACAGCTGTGTGAAATGGAACGAAACCACGCCAGACTATCCAAAACTGGAATCGAACGCCCCCCCAGAACTACACATGCTGGCTATTGTGTTTCGCCAAATGTTCTATGGGACGTCTCTACTGAACGTTTTCGTTTTTCCCACAATTAGAAGTTGCCCGTATTAAACACATTGGCGCTATCAAATGTAAAACTATTATATATTATTTATTATAATTAATAAATAGGTGAAAATCGCTATATATACACCCACATGACAGCTCATTGTTACTTTGTAATTCTACTCCACTACAATTCAGAGGTTAACCTGGTATTTTTACTCCACTGCATTTATTTGAGTTACTTTGCAGATTCTGATTAATTATGTGAAATATAAACAACCCTTAAATCAGACTTTAGTTACACCTGAGTAAAATTCAGGTAAGGTGATTGTCAAGTGCCAACAATCAGGAGAGATATTTGATAGTTGGTGCTTGAGAAGACTAAACCTGTATCTGCAATTGACATGAATGGAAACGAGTAATAAAGTATATTCATTACTCGTTATTCTCTACTAATAGTTAATTAAAGACTGTATATTATGGCTATTTTGCACATCCCTTTCAAGATTTTCAAAGGTTTATTGACATATCATATACACAACTACGGTGTAGTTATGCAATGAATGAAACACTTGGGTCACAGGTTCCTCAACAGTGCATTACAAGACATCTATCAATATGTGTGTACCTCCACCATTAAACTGTCATATTCTGCACATTTCTTATTCTATCTACATACATAAGAGTATAATTCATATGTATAATATTAGTTAAAATAAGTGCTTCAACATAGTTAACATTGCAGGAAAGCAATATATTAGACGTTAAGTACTTTGTCAGGCTTAATATTTATCTGTAGATAGATACCCCCAACGTTTTTTTCTTATTTAAAAGAAGACCTTAATCTGTTATTTAATGTTTAAATAAAGGTTAATTCGTTTTTCTGTTTTGCACCTCCTCCTATTAATATCTTTGTACATTCTGCACTAAACTGTTTTATTGTAGAGATCACTTTATAGTATCTTCTTGATTTTTTATATTCTATATTTCTATATTTATACTTTCCCCCTATGAAAGTATGTACTCTTAATATTTTTTTAATCAAACACAATAATTCAATAACGTGCTTTAACCACTAGATGCACACAAGGTACACAAATGTTTTCCGGATTTCATATCATATAAACACCAAATCCCAGCATGCATTGCGGCTAAAACATCCAATAAGCGAGCTTAAAACCATAGCTGAGGATCTTGGGTAATGCCTATGTCCGGTTATTTTTATTTTGAAATTCAGTTCCTGACGGATGCCAAAAAAGCCAGAGATTATGGAATTAAACCAATAAATAAAAGCAAGGATAATTGTGTATTATTGGTGAGTAAATAACAGTGTGTTATTTTGAAAAGAATAACAAATAAAAATATTTAAAAAATACAGATTTCAGTATCCTGAGGCTCTGAGCCCCATTTATTTTCCTCACAGACGGCAACAAAAGTCCGAAATTATACGATTTAAAATAAAAGCAATAATTGTGGCTTGATATTGAGTAAGAACATGTTTTTATGAACCACACAGCTTCAGGTCTTCCTCGACCCGACCGGAGAAAAAGACGTGCTGCAAGCAGTAGAAATACATTGCTTTTAAAATCGTGCTGTGCAACACGAAAAAAAATCGTGCTGTGCAACATGAAAAAAATGGGCAAATCGTGTTGGGGAACACGAATCAATAGATTAAAAATCGTGTTGGTGAACATGAAATGCCGTGAGACTGGGTTGGTGTGCTATGTGTGTGCTATGTGTGTGTGTGTGCTATGTGTGCTATGTGTGTGTGCACGCAATAACACTCTTCAGGTCAGTGAATAAGTTAAATCGATTAAATCATGTTTTTTGTCTGAACCGAGTTAAATATCAGGCTTCATTGTGTGTGTGTGTGTGTGTGTGTGTGTGTGTGTGTGTGTGTGTGTGTGTGTGTGTGTGTGTGTGTGTGTGTGTGTGTGTAGAGGACTCACGGTCCAGACCCAGTTGATCACGAGGATCTGCTTGTCGATCTCCATCATGAAGATGACGAAGAAGATGATGGCGAAGATCATCTTGCAGATGGCCACCGTGGAGTATCCTCCATAGTTTGAGGACGCGAAGCAGATGATGACGATCAAGCTGACGACCTGAAAGAAAGGAAAGAGTGGGGAAGGGACAATGAACAGATCAATGCAAGGTTTTGAGAAAGGGACAGATATCCCCGGATACTTGAAAGAAAATGTTTTGTCATAAAAAGTTGTTGTGTTTATACAAGTTGCTGCACCAGTGTTAACCTTGAATTAGTAAATACAACTTCTCTAGCAGGGGTTCAGAACCTTTAATGTGCCAAGGACCGGCAGATACATTTAAAAAAAAATCGCGGACTGGTTGTCAATTTTAACCGATTTTAATATTTACTCACCAGCAGGTAGCAACAGAGGCTAATTGTATGTAACAGCCTGAACAAATACTAGAACAATATGCATCCAAAACATATTAACAACGTTTAAAAAAGAACCGGTGTCGTTTTTTGAAACGGAAAACCGACGTTATTCAGTTTTTAAACCAAAACGGGAAAACAGATAAATCAACGTTTTGGTTTTGTTTGTATGATTTACGGATAATCCAGTGATGGGAAAACGAGGAGAAGGCGCATTATGAAGGGTGTGTGTGTGTGTGTGTGTGTGTGTGTGTGTGTGTGTGTGTGTGTGTGTGTGTGTGTGTGTGTGTGTGTGTGTGTGTGTCACTGGCATTTGTTTTCAGAAGATATTATGATAGTGACGTTCGTTCCGATGCACTCCGATAGCATTTAGCACTACATCGAGTTTAAGATTAAACTAATTTATTTTGGGAACACTCGCATATAGGCTACCTATGGAGTTAGCAGATGTGTGTAAATTACTGTTCATGGTCATTTTAAAACAAATGCCGGTGTCGGACAGACACAAACACACCGAACACACAGAGCTGAGCTGAGCAGAGCACATACACACATCATGCGCCTTGGTGACTGGACATAAAACTAATAAAAGGGGAAGTAATCGGGCAGTTCGATGTGTGTAGAGGTGTGTGTGGTTAACACGTATAGCAGCCTGCAGTCACTCTTAAGCTGTGCTGACACACACACACACACACACACACACACACACACACACACACACACACACACACACAACACACACACACACACACACACACATCAACACACACACACACCACACACACACACACACACACCCACAAACACACCACACACACACACACACAACACACACACACAACACACACACACACACACACACACACACACACACACACACACACACACACACACACACACACACACACACACACACACCACACACCACACACACACACCACACACTACACACACCACACACCAACACACACACCACATCACCACACACACACACACCACACACACACCAACAGCACACACACACACACACCACACCACACCTTTTTTACTTTACATATAACTAATAAATTTTAAGTTAATCTTTCAGTTTTGATGTGTGTAGAGATGTGTGTAGAGGTGTGTGTGGTTAACACGTAGCAGCCTGCCCTGCAGTCACTCTTAAGCTGTGCTGATGAAGGTAAACACAGCGAAGGCAGTGCGTAAAAAGGCACAGCTCTTTACCCGCTGGTGCTGCACTTCTCAGAGGCGGAGTACACGTCCCGCTGCCTCCTGGTGCTGCAGCCATTTCATGAAGTGAAGGAGGTTTTCCTTCTATGAAACAGCTGTGGCAGCAGATACCGTGAGAGTCCCGGACATGAATTCATAGATCAAGGCAGACTGATTTACTCTACTGTTTTGCCAATCCGGTGCTTAAACATATAGCTCTACACCCCTGGCCGACATGTCCTTAAAATGAAGTCAGAGTTTGAAATATATCTCAAATAATGTATGCACTGCCATTTCCCCACATAAACATAACAGTCTGCAATTAAACGGTTGTCTCCTGCTCCTCTTCCTCCTTGGCGCACCGGTAACTTTCTCGTGCGCATGAGAGGCTGAGACCTTAGGCTGAGCCGCCGAATCCCTCGGAACATCATAAAAGCCATTTTCAACGGTTATCTGGTGAAAGATTAACTAGGCTACTGGATGAAATAACATGACTGGTATAGGTGCGAAAATTATTTTTATATAATTCTGCAAATATTACGATAAACTCACAGCTATTTCGCGGCCCGGCAGTAACACCTCCGCGGCCTGGTACCGGTCCGCGGACCAAGGGTTGGGAACCCCTGCTCTACAGTACTTGCTGATACCACACATTTGAATATGGTAACTACTATTTGATTGGATGCATGGGGTTTTCAAAATAAAGGCGTGTCTAAAGCAGTATCTTTCTAAATAAAGTTGAATTTCAAAATAAAGGCAAACAATGATGCTATTGGATTGTTGACCATTGATCAGATATAGATCCCTGGTGAAAGAAGAATGGAAAGACTTAGAAAATACTTTTGGAAACATTTAAGTTAATGGGGCTTCATTTTAAGAGAACAAAACAATATGAAAACATCCTTCATACAAACTTTCACACAACTTCTGCAGAATAATCCACGTGTCATTTGCCTGGTTGTACATACTTCCCCAAAAAACTACAGATACGATATTTAAAACACTTGAGGTGAACAGTCGTATGCTTGTGCAACTCATGCCTGCAATAGAGTGGTGCAGTGACGAGTCCTAAAACCTGGAAGTGGGTAAGCATTGTACACTTCCTGTTCCCTCGTCTCAGAGCCAACGGGATCTCCCCATAGGGTTTTGGAAAATAGCTCGAAATAAGGTCTGTCAAAAACGAACCTGTTTGATAAATGCACGTTTTGTTCAGCCGGATAATCTCCACATGTCTACCCTACTTTTATAATTTTCAAATCATAAATCTAGTCGCCAGAAGCAAAATGCTAACGTTATGCTATAAAGGAACTAGAGGCGAGTCCAGCAGCACGACTTCAACGTCACGCCAACTTAAGATCCATATTCAAACACACAGATTCTAAATGGAACAAGTTGAAGCGTTTGTTTGAACAGTCTGCAGGAGGCAGGTTCTTGCTTTCAAGCAGAACAGGGCAAACCAACTTAGAGGGGTGTTTACGTGTTCGGCGTAATGACGTATAACGGCCTCCACAACTTCTGTAGTCCTATTCAGCCACTTGGTAACAACCATCGTTTCTCAGACACGTCAACTCTTCAGAAATCACCAGTAGGGTCACTGCTGATGATTTAATGTCGTAGAACCAGTGCTGGAATTGGGCCGGTACGCAGTACCGGCACTTCTGGTTCTGACCCATGGAGTACCGGCACTTCTTACTCAGTACCGGCATGCTGGCGGTACTCCGGTACTCATGCACCGTGCCAGTACTCAACACTCTCCCGCCGTTCTTATTATACATCCATATATATATATACAGCCGCCCGGTACTCAGTAGATGCGTCATGAGGTGCCGAACGGACATTCTCATCGCTCTAACCGCTGGAGTTTCACAGCGGCTGTCAGCTGTTTACTCCTGTCATTCAAACAGAACGTGCTGGAGAGGGGGCGGGGCTTATCTTCTCCATGTAAATACTGTGGTGGAAACGACTATGTCAAAATTAACCTATTTGACCGTGATTTAATAGTAATACACGTTTCAAAATAATAATAATAATGCCGAAGTAACAACATACTGAAAACGGTTAGTAAAACCATGTTTTAATGCTTTACAATTTACATACCTAGATGCACGTGTGTTGTGTTTATGCAGTGCAACTCCCACCCAGTGGGTGGCTATGTAGAGTAATAGAACAGAGCAGGCACGCCCCCTAGAGAAGGAAAGCAAGTCACGTCACAAATTAGCATTTCTAAAATGTTAGCGTGGATTAATAAAAGTGCAAAAAGACAGCGGTTCGGAAGAAACTTCAAATACAGAGAATGCTGTGCCTGTGTTGGAAATTGTGTCTGATGGGGAGCTTTCTTTGGTTGATCCTCCTGCTCCAAGTTCTAGTGCATTAGCATTAGCACTAGCTCCGCCGCCTCCTCCGCCGCCTCTAACGTTAGCTGCTGCTGGCTCAACTGCCACCACCAACACCGGGCAAAGCGATGCTGGACTGACTGCTGGACAACGGACCAGGTGCAATATTTTTGCAAGACCAATGCATGGCTCCTTCTTAAAGATAAGAAGCTAGGATGTCGGATATGCAGAGATGTCAAATCTTTGGGAATACACACTGGACAAGGACTGAAACTGTCAACTGAATGGGGTGAGTGTGCAGTGTCTCATTTCGGTGTTGACAAGGGCAAACAACAAGCTAGCCTGAGAAAAAAAAAATCAAAGAACATAAAGAATCACAAGCCCATGTAAAAGCTGCTGACATCCTTACATCTGCTTCACGTGAAACTATTCAACATCAAGTGCAGTCTATGCATAAATCTGAATTAGACACCACTATCAGAGTTTTTCGAACGGCATATAAAATTGGCAAACATAGCCGGCCATTCACAGACATGCCAATTGATTTGAATGTACAGAAACTGAATGGGCTGAACGTGGGCAGGGTTTTGCACTCCAATAAAACCTGTGGCGAAATCATCGACCACATAGCTCATGAGCTGAAGAAAAAAAATGGCAAAAGACATTACAGAAAACCAAAGAAAACTCTGCGTTTTGGTCGATGAATCTACCACTATTAGTGGTAAAACGGTGCTTGTTGTGTGTCTACGCTCAGCATTAGCTGATGCTGAGCCCGAAACGTTTTTTTGGGAGCTGATCGAGTTGGATGGAACAAAGGCTGATGACATCACAAAGGCGTTAATGGAGTGTCTCGGAAGAGATTTTAACAAGGACTTTTTAGGTCAGTGTTTCGTTTCTTTTGCATGTGATGGGGCTTCAGTCATGCTAGGGAAGAGAACAGGCGTTGCTACCCAGTTGTGTAGTAAATTCCCAAGCCTGTTTGTGTGGCACTGCTCCAATCATCGTCTAGAGCTGGCAGTTGGGGATGTGGTCAAGGAGGTCTCAGGGCTCAATCATTTCCAGATCTTTTTTGACAAACTCTATTCCTTGTTCCATGCCTCCCCCAAAAATCAGAGGCAGTTAGCGCAGTGTGCGCAAGCAGTCGGACAGCGTCTCCTGGTGATAGGGC